CCCCCAAAACCCCAAAACCCCAGGTCTCCGATCAGATTCACAATTCGGTAAATAGAAATAGGCTTTTTAAAATAGAATAAATTTTACATAATGTCATCATCATATTTTTAATCAGGGGTCTCTAAAAACAGGCCTGCACTCAAAATTTTCAAAGAGACTCTTCCTTATTCATTCAATTACAGCAGTAGGGTTTTAGCCTAGCTAGAAAATGAGAATTCAAATAGGAGCCATCTTGGTTCAAATTATAAGACTACAATTAATTATAACGCAAGTATTATAGCGCATCCTTATATACCCTATCAATAGCAATCTATTAGTGCAGCAATTATTCCCTCTAAAAAGAGAAACTTATCTCAATCAAGCAATTAAGATATTATGTTCTTCCCAGAAACTAAGCTTCCCAAATAAAATAAGTAGAATAGAACTTTAAGACAAAAGAGAAGGCAGCCAAGTATAAAGATTTTGCTATCAAAATATAAGGATTATTAAGATGAAATAATTCCAAGTAGTCATAGCAACAATATAAATGATGATGAATCAAAGAAAGATAATGAGAAAATGACAATGAGCAGGTCCTTTTACTCAAATGAAAAAGAGTTTTTTAAGGAAGAATCAGTTAAACCCAGCACAAGAGTGATATCTATGTAGCCTAGAAAGAGCATCTTTACATCTAGATTATAGAAAATCAAGGATGGTTACAAAAAGAATGAAACTGGGTAGCTCATTATAAATCTTAACTCAAATGCAAAATCTGTAAGTGAGGAGTCCTATGATTTCGGAGATAGTAGGAGGACATCATTTTCAGACTTTTATGAATTAAATGAGATGCTTGTTGATGAAAATGGAAAACAAATAAAAAAGAACTACAAAGGAAAGAAAGTACTAATAAAAGGCATCCCTTAAGATGAGATAAAAATGAGGGAACTAGAAATGGAAAAAATGTAGTTAAAAGTCTTATAAGGGCCAGAAAAACTTGAATATCTATATAAACTAAATAGAGAGGAGGCTAAGCTAAGGACTTATTCGAGAGACTCTAGTACAACTAAAAGTAGAGTTGAAATTAACACAAACTATAGTTAAAGATCTAACAAGAATTCTAAACTTGTTAAAAATAACTAAAGTAGCTAAATGAAGTCTAATATTTCTAAAAAAAGAAAAATCAATGTTTCTAAAGATAGAAGTGCAACCAATTTTGAATAGCCTCCTTGGGTAAATTATGATAATTTTGATGCAAATATTTACTCATTAGAAACTATTCCTAAGAAAAAGGATGCTATAATAGCATAAAGCCCATCAATTGAGGAGCATGTAGATAACATATTAAATGATACATGATAAGATAGAACACAAAGGAATACATTCTACGTTAAGAATTAAGATCAGGGCAAATACGATTTCAAGATGAATAAATCTTTTACAAATAAGATATCAAAGATAAAATAGTTCCTTAATCAAAATAAAGTCTTATTTCCAAAGAAGGAAAATCTATTAGAACAATCTTTTACACTTTACAATCCTACAATTAAAACCTAAACTAGCAATAATAATTCATTCTAAATAAAAAGAGATTATACTCCTTAACCAATCATGAAAATTTAATCTCACACTCAATATCCTAAATTCATAAACAGATCAACATTAATGAACAAATTTTCAGGCCTCGATTAGAAGAAATTCCTAGTGGATTTAAATATTAATACTTTAAGAAGGAAGAAAAATTTGACATTAATTGAAAAACTTTCATCAGGTGATAATTTCAATTAATATAGCAATTAAACAGGCTTCACAACCAAAGGCTAAGAAGCTGAAAATAGAGATAAGAGGAATTAAATTTGGAAAGACTCCTATCGGTAACTTCAATTTCAAACAAAAGACCAAATATATGACTACTTAATGTAACTAAGGAATCAAGTGTTAGATAGGCAGTATGTAGGTTACTTAGAAGACATAGATCAATTAGTGAACATCAATAAATTTATAGTAAATAAACATTTGAATACAGATAAAAAGATCAAGGAGCAAAAGACTAAGATAAATGATTTCTCCAAAGAACAAAGAGTTAAACTTGCCAAGATTATAATGGCAATAAAAGTTAAATTACTAATGAATGAAGATTTACAATGAGATTACAAGAATATAATAGATATGAATTATTCAGTATTGATACAGTTATGAGACAAAGCTAATATAATTTTGATTTAATAAATATTATCCTTAAAGACAAGTTAATAATATCAAGTATTTTTATAATACTAATATTTATGTATAATCATGATCTTTTAATCATTAATAGTTAGTGCTTCTCATTGCATTCTTAGTGCTGTTGAAATTCTGATTATGCGACTTGAACTTTTCGTCCCAAGGAATTCTATCCTGCGATCTGATATCTTAATGCTGCTTTGCGTTCCAAATAATTTTACTTGTATTTAATGGGGTAAGTTTGGTGAATGGACCTTGATTACTTAAATCAAGTCCAGACTTTTCTATTGTTGAAATAGACTTATTTCTTTAGTTAAGATATTTTGACTAAATATCTCTTTGCTACTCAATTTTCTTTTGAATGCTTTACATCCTCGAGAATGTCTCTTCCTAATTCATCTTACTTTTCATCTAAGTTGACTGAGTCTCGCTATCTTAATTTTTCTTTTCATTATTTGTTATGTATTGGCTGTTTATTAATGACCCTGCTGTTGTAAGATTAGCTCTTTTTTTAATCTCATAAACCTAGCGAGTTATATTTTTCTCTTTCTCTTGTCTTTACTTCTGATCGGCATATTCTTACTCTTTCATTTGTTCCAGACTTAGCGCCTAAGATCTCTTTGGTGTAAAGAATTCATTTCCATAGGAGTATTGCATCATTTGTTTTATTTTATCATCATTAAATGATATTCCCAGTTCATTCTACAGCTTTTTCTTTAATGATTTTATCTTCTAAGTTTTCTGCCAAATATCATCCAATTCCTATTTTCTGTTCAGATATTTATTTTTAGTAGTCATTGCTTCTTCATTTAGCTTTTTCTAAGTATCGAATATGTCTTTAAGCTGCTCAGTTTTATTAAAATGACCCATTGTCTTATTCATTAATTCCTTTTCTTTCATTTAAGTTTCTAGATTTATCTTAGTTATTTATTGCTGAACTTTTTTGTGTAGGTGAGCTTCTTCTCTAGTTGGTTCTGGTCTAGGTGGGTAGCCCTCATTACCTTCAATATGAGGCTTTGTTAAATCTAGATGTCTCATCTCCTTATTTTGAATTGAATTTTGCTTAATCTGCTGTAGAATATTTTTCTTAAAAGTCTGTTTAACATTTTGAATATGCTTCTCCTCATCAACTACTCTCTTATCATACTCTCTATTATTTTGTCTTTAAACTTTAGCAGCTCTTTTTATGTCGATAGCTTCATCTTCCAATTACTTGAGGAATCTCTGCAAAGCATCAAATTAAAGATTATTTAAATTTAGTTCTTATTAGGCAAGAGAAGGTGGGATCACTTGCTAAGTAAATTTTTTTACTTTTTCCTAAACCAATTTCGATGATATTGTTGAGGCAGTTTCACTCAACCCTCTAAAGTGGTTTGACTTTGTTGAAAAAAGTGTGTGATTGAACCTGTCTAAATTGTTCTTTGATAATTTGCCAGATTAATGACTATTAATGTTCTAAGGTGGCATCCTAGATCTTTCATTTTTAATACCAGAGTATGCTTAACCTGACTCATCAATTATGTTCTTTTTAAGTTCAAGGTTTTAATCTATTGCTTAATTATCATTTTCTTGATCCTCATTGCCGTTGTTATCTTAGATAGTTTAATCATTTATAGTATTATTCTAATCGTTTGTTAGTTGATCTTCCTCGAAAACCTATTCTTGAACAACAGTTTGCATTTTATCTACTCCACCTTTAATATCATCACCTTCATCATCATGATCTTAAGAGGACTCAACTTCAATTATATCATGAAAGCTTTCAACAGAATGATTTAATGATTGTCTGTTGTAAAACCCTCTGCTATTAATAAAATTCTCTTAATATAGAGTCCTTGGAGTTCTGTTATTTATTGGTCCAGCTTATGTTAGAAAATTACAAGAATTGAGATTTTTCTTATTATGATTCAAGAATCTATTTCCATCATTTATACCATTAGATGAGTCATGGAAGATATTCTGATGGTTTGATTCATTCATGAAATTTGTTTTGTAAAACTATAAATCATTTGACCTGATAGCTTAGGATTAGTCGATGCGTGAAAAATTTTGCTCGGTTTACTTAGAAAGTCTACTAGGTGAATTCATATATTTGCCATGAATAATCTCATATTATAGTTTATCAACATCAATATCGACTTTGTTTTTTATGTTTTTAGCTCTCATATTAGCTTCCCACTCTTTTTTTGCCTACTCTTAATACTTATATCTCATATCATTCAATGTCTAGTCATTCTTATTGCGGAAATTATTTTCATGCTTCATTGTTTAATGATTCTCAAAAATCTCCCTCTATCTTTCCAAATCAGAGAACAGTTTATTGTTTTTTATTTGTTCTTATAATTATTGGTTATACTAATTCTATTAATCCTTAACCATTCTTTTATGTTGATGTTTCGGAGTTTCAGTGATCTTTGGAAACACACTTACCAAATTTGTATCAACTGTCTGAAACTTAGAATTGTACTACTGATCCTTGGCTATCTCATGCTGCTTGCTAATGCTCTTTTTGAATTGCTTGTCAACTATTTGCTATATAAGATATTCTTTAAGTTCTTTATTTTGCCTTAACTTTTATTTTATGTTTGAGTCTTCTTTGAGCTAACTCTATAGCTATTGCAATTAAGTCTTTAAATGCTAGTTTTATTTCTCAGATTAGTAAAACCTATTAAGAGTATCATAAAGCTAGTCTAGCTATTCCTTCTCAAGCTTGGTATCATTTAGCCCATTGGTCTTTTAGCTATTTGCGGTAGAACCCTGAAAACTTCCATTTAAAGGTGATTTGAAAGCATTATAGGTTTACTTGTGAAACTAATGAAAGGGTAAGGATGTCAATTTAAAGTCTTCATTCCTATTCTAGCTAGAGGTTTAAACACGAGACTTAGCATATTTAATGGGACTACTTCCGATGGAGCTTCTTTCTCCACCAATACTACTCTTTTCGCTAATCTAGTTTTGGGGGACTGAACTCTTTCTAACTTTTTTTGTAAGACTCGTTGCTAAATCCATGTTACCGATTGCTTATAAATAAAATTAATCTGTTTCAAGATTTTAATTCAGACTTTATTTATGTTTTTGTAATTATCAAGCATCTAGGGGTTTTGGGGTTTTGGGGTTTTGGGG